TCATGGCCGTCTTTCAAAGAACAGCTAAAGGGTTTCACCTCAGCATCTGTTTTTGATTCTGATTTCCAGCATTCGCAGTTCTCTCGTTTTTTTTTAAAGTCACTTTCTGGGGGAGCTTTCTGTGCACAAGTTGGCAGTTGCGTTTTCTTTATGACAGTGTGACTCCACTTCAAAAGGACTTTATTTGCTTGTAAAATGATTTGGGACATTCTGAGATCATTGAGAGGTCTATATACTTGTGTGTTAAAGCAAGCAAGGTTTCTCTCAAAAACAGGAATCCTTCCAACCCCAAGATGGTGCCATTGAGTCGACTTAGTGGGGCTACCTGGACAGATCCAAAACACTTTGGCAATTTTCAGAGGATAACAGTTCCAAGGGAAAAAAATAGATTGACTCGCAGAATGTGCCCATTGATGACTTCTCCATCATAAAATGAAAATGCACCAAATCACATCATTAAATTTCAGAACTAATAGCAATAACACATTGGGTACATTCCAATACTGCTGTCTTTATAGACTGTGTGGCCAAGTCGAACTGACCATGGCATAGAGATAGAATGGATTGTGACGTTCCAGTGAATCGAGGTATTTACATGCTCAACAAATATGAGCAGTTCTTCCCCTTTCATGAGATTTCTTACCCTGATTTTGATTCAACTGCAATTTACCCATAAAAAAGCGAAGTGGTGTAAAATGCCCTTTCTGCTCAAGGCATCGCTGGTTTACTGGAAGAAGAAGTCCCAATCCCTTTGGAATCAGTTTCAAATAATAATCCGAGGATTGTTGTTACACTCCAGTCCCTGGTTCCTGAAGGCCTCAAGCCAACACCGTGTGCTTTCTAGACCAGGGAACAGCGGGGCACAGCTGGTTAGACAGCCAGGCAGTGATGCCGAAAGACCCCCTCAGCTGCCAAGTGCCTCCACCTGTGGATGGCCACATTGGTTAAAGCTAGTACGGGTGCCACAAGCTCCCTTGACCTGCCCTGTTCCCCTTCAAACCAGGGAGCCAAAGATCAGAAATACAGGGCTGATGTTCAGTCAGAAACTGAGGAATACTATTCTTCTGGATTCATAAGCTACCTGAGCGTAAGTATCTGAGGGGCTCAGTATCAGAAGCTAATTCTTCAGGTTCCTCATATTCATCAACATTGTCCAACATTAGCGTCCTGAACTGAAACATTTCTCCTGGATTATGTTTCTTTATTTGAGAGAACATTGAGCATTGCCTCATTTCCTTCCTGGTTATTAGATCGATCACATTTTGACTTTGGGAGAAGAGGAACAGGAGCAGGTCTTTAAAGCTCCTCTACTCTCTTCACGTCCTCCTACTGATCTGTTTCTCAATAGCATTTACTTGTCTTGGCTCCATATCTTTCAGTTACCTTAACCCCTGCAAAATTCTACATATCCCTGTCTTCAAGATTTCAACTGACCCAGCATCCTGCAGTCTTGTGGTAGAAGTTCCAAATTACCACTCAGCCCTTGTGCTTTAAAAAAAAAACTTCTTAATTTCATCACTTGCTGGCCTTGCTCTAATTGTAAATGTATGCCACTGTTCCAGTTTCTGACACAACAAAATATTTATTGAGATAGTAAGAACTGCCGACGATGGAGTCTGAGATAACACAGTGTGGGGCCGGAGGAATACAGCAGGCCAGGCAGCATCAGAGGAGCAGGAAAGTTGACGTTTCGGGTCGGGACTCTTCTTCAGAAATGGGGGAGGGGGATGGGAGTTCGGAAGTAAATAGAGAGAGGAGGGGTGGGGCTTGGGAGGTAGTTGGGATGATGATAGGTAGTGCAGGTAGGGAGTGGTGGGGATTGGTCAGTGGGATAGGAGGGGTGGATAAGTGGGAGAGAAGATGGACAGGTTGTGTCAAGTCAAGGAGGCGGGAGGGAGGATGGGTGGGCTCCCTCCTCTCTCTAAAATATTTATTGTGTCCACCCTGTTGAGTTCTGTTATGGTTTTAATAAGTTAGCTCATATCTCACAGGGACAAAACCTAAACATTTACTTCACTAATTAGAGACCTATGTGATAATGCTGCAATTTGTCTCTAACCCTAACACGATGATGGATCTGATGTGTTTCCGTGGAATGTCAATCCATATTCTGTCTAATTTTAGCTCCCCAAGGGTTACCTGAATTGCACAGGATTTTCCAGCTTAAGAAAGTTCTTAAATCGTTTTCAACCATTCTGTGAGACAGTGTGTTCCTGACCATAACAATTCGCTGTGTATAATGAATTCTCCTCTTCTCACTTTCTGGTCCCGTTGCCAATTATTTTAAATCTATGATCTCTGGTTACTGACCTTCTGCCATGAGAAACAGTTTCTCCCTACTTACTGTATCAAGGTACTTGAATGCGTCTTTTAAATCTCCTCCTTAACCTTCCCTGCTCCATGGAATCATGTGCAAAGCGATGGGGCATGTGAAGAGGAGTGGGACTAATTGGATAGCTCTTTCAAAGGGCATGATGGACTAAATGTCACCTTCTGCATTGTGAGTATCTATGAGTCTTCGAAGACATTTGTTGGAGAGAGGCTGGTCTTCATCGTGTCTTAATAAGG